TTGTTCTCTTGCTTCAGTGCTTTTTTGGTGCAGTTGTTGCAGTTCTTGGGTCCAGAAGGATTCACAGTTTTGCCTTTGACCTCAGGTGATTGATTTTTGTGCTGCTTCGAGTATGATATTGGTAAGAGTTGTGGTGTTTTTTCTAACCTCATTTGTGGGAAAGGGCTCCGATAGTTTCTTTTCAGTTAAGTTTTTGTAGAGGTTCTAGTCTGCATTCTTGTAGTTCCAATTGGCTTCTTTTTATTTTCTGGAGGCTTGACCTCTCCTATCATGACGATGACTGGTTTGTGATCACTTCATCCCAGCTGTTTCATCCCTTCTCTGTCTGCCCTACGTTCGATGTTTTCTGTAGCTATAGCTAGGTCCTGGGTACTTTGTGTTCGCTATCGTCTAGAGTAGAATGTTGGTTCAGAGTCAGGTTCGTTTATTAGTATCAGCAGGTTTTCTACGATTTATTCATCTACCTCTTCTATCCATAGAAGCATAGCTCCAACTAGGGGAATGACTGTTGAAGTCACCAAGAGTTATGTGGCTCGTATCAGCTACTTGGATGTATTCTAGTTCTAATTTCTTGTTGTTGGGACAGTAAAAGTTAGTAACATATAGTAGCTCAGGAAGGATATACAGTTTTATAGTTAGATTTTCAGACTCAATGATGCTTCTTGAAGTTTCTGTGGCTGCAGTAGTATTTTCAACTAATGTAATGATGCCTCCTTGGTAGCCATCTCTGTCTAGCCTATATGTTTGATAGCCTCTGACAGAAAAGCGAAAGCCTATGTTTAAATGGATTTTCTGAATGCAGACAACATCAATATTGTGTTAACATATGAATTGTTGCAGTTCGAGCTTTTTCATCATGACCCCTTCTTCATTCCACTGCATTATCTTTAGTGTTTTGATATTTTTTTGGCCAGACGCATTACTCTGCTTAATCCTGGTCCGCGGATGCGCAGAGCTACCATCAGTAGTTTGGGGTGGATTCCTTCGAGGCTCGAAATCCGGCGCTGTTCCCGTTTGGTGGTAGTCCACAGGAGCAGCCCCATAACGGTTTACGTATCTAAGCATACTCATTAATCGTATATTGCGTTGATGTCCGTTTCCATTTCTGGGTGCCCACATTCAGGCCGACATGTCCGTCTTCGGTTGGGGAAGTTACGGAGTCTTCCTATCCGTATCCTGGTTCATCCAAACACTGCCTGCCAGAAAGCAGAGGTTGTTGGAGTTTCCCTTCTCCACCTTTGATTATCCAGGGTGGGCTCCCTGGGTGTGACCTTAGTGGGGATCTGGCCATGTCCACGTGCCGGTGGACCAATGCATCGGCCGCACCTTACGGAGGGGGGGGGGGGGGGGAAGTCACACTCCACCGAGGGTTTCTGTCTGGCTTACCCCAGCCATAGTCTGGTATTTTACCCCTTCAGGTCTGGGGGTCCATTTTGTTAGCGATGGAGACTCGCTATGCGCCAGAGCCGTGTCTGTTACAACAGGTAGCACCAAGTGTAGGTACGGATGACTTGATTGGCAGAGGCTGTGTGTTACGCGCAGGCATTTCCCACCTTTTAGGTGGAACCTGTACATACCAATCCTTTCTACCCGTGTCCATTTGAGTTGCTAGCAAGGCTCCGGTGTACGTAAATACCAGATCCCTGGAATACCTAGCTCAAGCTGTGAGATCCAAATATTCGTCGATGAGGATTGTTGTGGCTTGTGGGGTACTGGACTCAAGGGCTCGGGAGGGGAGGGGTGTGGGTGGGGGGGGGGGGGGCATTGTACTCATAGTGCATCCAGAATGAGTAGGAGAAAGAGGGCAGGAAACCATTCAGTCATTCCTCGTCGTTGCCGTCTTGTTGGATTCTAACGTGGCCTTGAGCTGGGATTAAACGCATCACGTCCCCAGTCTTTAACATCGTACCATTTGGGGGGGGGGGGGGATTTGGTGGTTGGGTGCTTTGGTCCTGTAAGTATCAGTCTATTTGTCCTCCCTATTTGCTGTCAGTCCTTTCCTATTTTGAGTCCAACCAGTCAAGTTTATGTTGGATGCATGATGAAGAATAAGATAATTAAAAGTATGAATCCCTTGTGTATATGAATGTACACCATCAAGTGTATGCATATATACACCCGAGCATCCATACACTCACACAATATTACATGTTTGCCCTCCCTTTCACACATATCCATGCTTGAATAACCATATGGATACGTACCTGTTTAACATTTCCTACACTTGCGTTCTCTTTCATATCAATGTAATTATTCAATACATACTTCCCCACATGCGCATATCATCATCATCATCATCATCATGATCAGCTGCCTTGTCGACTAGCGTGGGCGATCATGTCTCTCCATAATCCACGATCTCTTGCAGCATATATCAGTTCGTGTACCGACACACCTCCATGCTATGCAACAAGACTGTCAAGAATTTTTTCTCGTGATCTTCCTCTATCCCTCCTTCCACAGATCTTTCCAGTGGTCACAACATGTTCTATTTTCCCCCTTCTCATAACAAGGCCGAAAGATGACGACTGTCTCCTTCTGATGTCTGTGATAAGTTGTCTTCGGGCTCCCGCCTCTTTCAAAACCTCTTGGTTGCTCTTTTTGGCTGTCCACTGTATTCTAAGCAATCTTCTGTAAAACCACATCTCTGAGGCTTCAAGAAATTGTTTGGCCTGCCTACCGATTGTCCAAGATTCACAGCCATATGTTAAAACTGGATGTATGTAGCAAGCAATAATTCTTTTTCTAACTCTCAGTGACAAGAATATATTGCACAAGATGTTCTGCATTTTATAAAATGCAGTTTTTGCCTGTCCTATTCTGTTGATCTCAGTTATGCATCTTCCATCTGATGTTATCCATGTGCCCAGATATTTAAATGTATGTACTTGTCCAAAAAAAAAAAAAAAAAATCGACTTTTATTACACATTTAGGAATCATTCGTTTCTTTGAGACCACTATTACTTCTGCATTCCCATTATTCAAACTGAGGCCCATTATTCCACTTTCGAACACCACAATGTCTATCATTTCCTGTAGTTATTTCTGATTTGTTGCTATCAAGACTGTGTCATCAGCATAACGTAATTTTTTTATATTGTGCCCACCAACCACAATTCCGGGCATATCAATTAAAGATCTCATTATATATTCACTGTATATTGTAAACAAATCAGGTGATAGTACACATTCTTGTCGTACGCCCCTCTTTATGCTTTGAAATATATATATATATATATATATATATATATATATATATATATATATATATATATATATATATATATATATATATATATATATATAAAATCCGGAACTTCACTACGCAGATGACACAGTCCTTTTTTCGAACAGCGTAAAGGGAATAGAAAATGTAATATTGTCTGTCCTAAAGCACAGTGAAGATCAAAATCTGTTCTTGAATTTAAAGAAAACGAAAATAATATCTACAGATAAAACTGGATGTCACCCAAAAATAACAATAAATGGTGAAGAAATTGATAATGTCACAAACTTTGAATATCTAGGCTCTATAATAAATAGCAACGGAGACTGTTTTTGATAGAAATTAAATGAAAGATGGCCATAGCAATGCAAAAATTAAACAGCCTAAAATGTCTATGGTTAAGCACCAGCAAGGAAATCACAATAATAATTTCGAGAGCCTGCATCTCTTGAGAATAGACTATTGTGAGGTAAGCCTGGACAAAATAGAAGAGAACAGATTCGGGGACATACTGAAGGAAAAAATGGGCAAAATACTAAGGAGAATGAACCGGACAGAGGATGACCCAGGAAAGCAAAAACATAAGAAAACTAAGGATAAGAAGTACACATTGGGGCACAGACATAAAGGAGGAGTCTTGACTATTAGGCTAGGGACATAGAGCCAGCAAGCTGGCGTATATACCAGAGTTTTAGCCATGCAAGTGGCGCAAACAATTCAGTCCATAAAAATAACCGAGCTTTGCTGCCAACAGCAAGTTGAACGTGGTCGAGTTTTTGATGTTTTTTTTTCTTTCTTTACTGGAATTGGAACTGGAAAAATTGGCTAGAGAAAAAGAGACTTCCAGGCTGCTGTGAGGAGAGCGACGTTCTGTAAAGGAACTGCTGATTGATGACGACTTATCAAACTATGGGAATGACATCATCATCATGTAGCAGATCCTTTGCAGAACGTCGCTCTCATCACAATCTGCCTGAAAGAAACTCCGTTTCTCGCCTCATGTATTTTCATACTCAAAAAGTCACTTATATCCTGTGGCCATCTTCGTGTCGGCCCCTACCCCTCCTTCCTGGTACCATGCATTCTGCTATAATTTTTTCCAATCCGCCGTGGCTCTTGATTTGACCAAAATATTTCAGCTTTCGAGAAAGGATGCTGTTTATTAGCCAATCTTCCTTGATGTTCAGATCTTTTAAGATGTCAATATTTCTCATCTTCTTTGTCCAAGATATTCTGAGAATATTTCTCTAGCATTTCAGCTCAAAAGCCCCTATTCTCTTTCTTAAGGCCTGGGGAATGACATAATCATGCAAAATGTTTTTTATCCTAAGAGTAGGGATTATTGTGGATTATTATCACAGCACTCCGGACATATCCATAGGTGTTTACTGTGATCGGTCTCTTCAAATGCCCAACACACCGAAAAGCTTACCATACATGGCACACATTTGTTCCGCGTGTGTCTCCGTGATCCAAGTTTTGCCAGGAAGAAGTTTGAATGTTGACATCTTGTGGAAGTTAAAACGAGGTCACGTCTGGGACAAGGAGCTAGCCATTGTTGGCCACCTACCAGCTTCAGTCGTGTCTGTTTGTCGGCCTTTGTGCGTTTACTTCACGAAAATACCACGTTTCTTGTAATTTTATATTACTTCATTGATCTTAAATCTTCCTGAAGTGTGCGTTACTGGGCTGACAGAGATAGACTTGGTAAATTTGCGTTTTAAACGGATTTTTTAAATTCTTAAAAATTGTCAATCGTCGGTGTGGTTTAAAATGGCATGCGGGGCGACGTTGAAAAGAACTTATGAATTCGATTTACTTCATAGCCCTCCACAACCACCAATAAAAAGAAGATGCATGCCACTTTCTATGGCTCAGTCGCCATCCTCGATTCATCAAGTTTCACCTTCTGTTTCTTCTGCTGCATCCCCGAAATTAACCAAAGGTAAGTTTTGTTGAGAATTACTATTTACTTTGTCTTCATGTCTACTAGTACTAGTACTATAAGACTTGAGACTCAAGTTGAGTGAGAACAGAAAGTTCCGTTTCTTAAGTTTCAGCAGTAAAAACGCAGATTTCCAATCTTTAGGTTTAACAAGATATCAGGTTTTAAAGTTTATTTTAGGGATATGAATGTTTGTGATTGGATTTACATAAATAGCCCTGGCCCTTTACCTGACAAACAGCCAACATAGTAGTAGATGGTAAACATAAAGCTTTGATGTCACAATCTATAATAAGTTTGTCGGCTATCCTCCAAATAAAGGTCCCAAATTGAGGCTGAAAATATACCCTAACAGGGCCTCAGTCACTTGTCAATTGCGAACTTCGGGGGACTAAAATTGCACACTTCCAGGGACTATAAATACCGCTACCGCCAAGAGTATCCCCCACACCGCTCATGCGGCGTAGATTGGGGCTAAACTAGATGGCTAGGACTCACGGGCAAATAAATTGAAGGAAGCTGCAGCAAATGCAGTAGCTGCTGCTCGTGACTTAAGTACATGTGCAGTGACTATAATCTGTCAACTAAGAAATCAGAAAGTATGAATTCTTCTTCTGCCTTCATCCGAAAATTAATTGCGTTGTGTGTGTCCGTTTACGTTTACAGCATGGCTGCGATATTTGCACCTTTCTTTTTTCCAACACCTCCGACTTCTGCGGGCATTTGTTGACCGGGTTAGCCTTCCCGGTAGAAAGTAGGTATTGGTATACAAATGGTGTTTTTAATGATGTGAGTGGGTATAAACTGAGTATTTATATAACTCTGGCATATCCAGATTCTTTACTACCCACCTGCCACATTAAGGTGGATATTGCAGAGTCTGCTATAGTACCTTTGGAATATTTGGCACCGATTATCATGGTGATGCGTATGATTAGCAAGACAAGCTTGTGTTAGAAAAATGTATTCTACCATATGTGCATGGAATATTAAATCTATTGATTCATTACATATTGTTTCTTTTAAACATTTTTAGTGAAAGGATGGATTACATTGATAGGTCTTTGGGATAGGAGTAAAGACAATCACTGAGTTGCTTGTTTTAGCAATGTCTGTTACTGTTAGTGAAGCAGAGAATAGTGATACTGTAATTTAAAATGCATGTCACAAGAAGCTATTTTGTGTGACTGTCTTTATTACTATGAAAACTTCCACTGCATTATCCAACCAATCTTAGAGAATTTTTAAAGGGGATTTATGAGAGTTGATGAGAGTTTGAGTCAAGTTTTATAAGGAGTTAAAAGAGAAGAAAAATGACATAATTAAATTAACATTTAATGGGTGTACAACAATTGTTAAATTTTGTATTGTATTATGTTCAACAGAGGAAATTACAGCCAGAATTGAATCAGAACTGAAGCGGATGCAGAAGAGAAAGCAGCTGTTCTACTCACCACACAGTCCATCGCAAGCTTCTAACATATCTTCTCAGTCTGGACACCAGAGCCCGCCTGTGTCTTCAGCAGCCTTGACTTCTTCCATCACTTTGAGTGATATAGCAAGTCCATCATCAGCCTCAGGGACTGTCTGCTCCAAGCAGAAAGACGTCCCGTTGTTCACATTTAAGCAGGTGGCAATGATTTGTGAACGCATGGTCAAAGAACACGAAGATCAACTCAGGGAAACATATGAGAAAGCTCTTAGCAGCAAAATGTCAGGTAAAGATTTTTTTCTAATTCCAAATTTGGTTGGCCTGTAATTAGGCTTTAAAAAAAAATTATGTCCCATCTTCACGGTGAAGGTTAACTATAGAGTGCCACTGTTATCTTTGGGAATTTTGCATGGTGAGATCCTTTTACTTCCATGGTTCAACTCTTTTACTGCTGATTGGCAACTACAAGAATGGTTTTTCAATTCATTCACTGCAGGATTCGCACTATAGTTCTCGAGAATCACAAAATTGTTAACAGCATTCACCAATCTCTGGGCCGCAGGCGATTACTTTTTTGTTGTTGTTAGTTCACCCTTTGACCTCTTTGCTTTTTGCTCCTCTCTCTATATCTGTTTCCCCCCCAACCGCCAAGAGAGACATATAAGAAGCAAAATATTTGGTAACAAAACACAGTTTAGGTAAATATTTTAGCTTGCTAAATGATTCCTTTCATTTTCTTCTCCTCTCTCCTTCCTTGTGGAGAGACTTGGAAGCAAAATGTCAAGTAACAAAAAGGATTAAGTTGTGTATGATTTGTTCTTTTTGCTCTCTTTCACACATATACACACACCATATCTCAACAAAACACAATCAGTAAACAATTTTACCAGTCATTTCGCATAAAAACATTTTCATTCGCATCCTAAGCGTAAATGGTCCTCCTGTGATACAAAATCTACATAAAGCCAATGTTAAATTACAAAGGCAGCAGTTTAGGGAAAAAAAAGCGTTAACACTTAGTGAGAATATTGTTGTGATGTTATACCATACAATGTACACATTACAAGCTAGAGGAATGTGCAACCCAAGATAGATAAAGAACACACAGTGGAGATAACAAACTCTACAATAGCATCGAGTGTCTGTGGTCAGTGTGATCATAAGAGTGAAGAACCAGTCTCTCGTATCCACCTCGACACCTATAGAGCTAAAAGAGCACATCATGTTTTCAAGGGTTTTAAAAAGTAACAAATTACTTATGTGACAATTAAAATCTCATCACGGCCCCCACCAGTAAGAAAAGTGAAAAGTTCAAATGCAGGGATATAAACTAATTAATTTGTCACATGGTGATTTAATGATGAAATTTTTCTGCAGTTTATCACATCTCTTGTTATTCTTTTACAGAACAGTACGAGTCATTTCTCAGGTTCAACCATGATCAGTTACATAAGCACTTTGGAAGTGTCCCTTCAAGCTGTAAGTAATATATTCTTGTAATTATTTTAATTTAATTTTTGTATGAAATTCATGGATGTGGACATTGATCTTTTAGGAGAATGTCCCAGTGACGTGAACCTTGCACATTGCATGCCATAGACACATGGACCGTAGATAAGTGTCATCATGTGTATTTCAGAGAAAGGGTTTCATATTTTCCTATTGTATCCATCCATCTTTTGATTTATTGGAATTTGTTTGATTTTCTTGAAAAGCTGTGTACAAGAATTATGTTATGCAATTGTAGTCCTTCTGTCAAGGCATCAGTTAGTAATAATTTATTAGTTTTGTTTTTTATCTTTCTTTATGCTTCTGATCTATACACTCTTCCTGATTTCTCTTAATTTTCCTGTCTTTTATTCCCTTTATGGGGCTTTCCACCAACTCGCGCTAAGTGTTCCTATCATAATCTTTTTCTTCCACATCCCAGTGGAGCCACCAGCCAGCGCATGCAGAGTCATCCTGAGAATACTCCCTGCATGGTTTAGGAGGTACCATTGGGGGGGGGGGGGGGGGTAGTATCCCTAACAAACATTGCAAAAGGCGACTAATTAGAGGTGTTTCCTTCAAAGTTGGGGCATATATGCCTGAGAGTCAAGGAACTGACAGTCTGCACAATAATCAGCCAGATCTGTAAAATGACCTGGAACCAGACAGATATGGATGAACAAGAATTTACTATACACAGGGTTCGTAGTGGACCGGGAAATCGGGAAATTACCGGGATTTTTTTCGTTGACCTTAAACCGGGATTTTTAGCTTATAAAAGACATTCCAACCTTGAAAAGCCGTGAATTTTGACCGCGGCAATGAAATTGTCAGAAATCCTGTGTTTTTCAAGCACAGGCAATTTGGGGGGAGCCATTTGGATTTTTTGGCCATTTGGCTAGTTTTTGGCTACTTTCGTTGTATGGTCGTTTCAGGTGTGAGGGCAGCTGATTATTGGCTATTTTCAGCCGAAATGGCTTGTTAAAGGCCAGGGAAGGGCGGGCTTTGTTACACATCATGAATACATGCAGACAGCAGCAGTGTGGCATGGGGCTGGAAGGAGCAGCTTCCGGTCTCGCGTGTGTGTGTGTGTGTGTGTGTGTGTGCCTTTGTTTCTAGCAAGTCGGGCAGAATGAACAGTTTAAATCGTTTATGGCCGTGGTTTCTAGAAAGGATTACATTGGGAGATGGTGGGGCTCGGTTCAGTTGTATTTATAAATAGAGTCGCCGTGGGGCTAAGCAAGGCTTTCTCTATTAATTAGAGATGGCATTGGGGCTAAGAAAAGTGACTGCAGCTGGATTTCCCAGTTCTATTTTTGGTCTGGATTTATCTTTACAGTGTGTTTGGCGATCAGTATTGTAATTCCCCGAGATTCCCTCTTCTGTTGTCTCACCCCTCTCTCTCTTTTCCCTCCCTCTTTCACTCTTCTACCTATTGCTCCTTCCTTCCCGTCTCCTGCATTGTCTCTAACCCTCCCTTCTGATCTTCATCTTCTTCTCTTTCTCTCTATCTTTCCTTTTACTCTCTCATTTCCTGTCCCCCCTCCCCCTTTTTCCTATTTTATTTCTTGTTTAAATGTTTAGTAAATGTGCAGCTCCATAACTCTTCCTAGCAACTCAAGTACACAGGAAGTTGTATTGGGGGGGGGGGCATTCTGTGTGAACATGGTGGATATTTTCTTTTGATGTGTTTGTTTTCCTAGCGGCCTTAATCTCTGTCCATCTCCCTTCCCGCCCCCTCACATTTTGTCCTACCTGTTCCTCACTCTCTGCCTGTCTGTGTCACTGCTTTCTTCTTTCTCTGTATTTGCCACTCTCCCTCACTCCCTCTCTCTCTCTCTCTCTCTCTCTCTCTCTCTCTCTCTCTCTCTTTCTTTCTCCATACCTTCAGTTGGTGTAGAAGGTTTATGTGTTGCCTAGTGTGCAGAACATTTCATGTCCACCATTCCCCCCCCCCCCCCCCCCCCCCACACACACATTAAATATATGTGTACTTTTAAAAACACATTTGCCGTCACCCTCCCCCCTTTTTTTTCTCCTCCCGCATTGATGACACCTAGGGGAGGGAGTGCACCCCTTCCTGCTACCTTCTTCCCTCTATATCTCATCTTATGTCTTACTCCCTTCTTTCTCTCCCTGTCTCATTCCCACTTTATTTTCTTAAACTTTATTCTCTCACCTCCTCTGTCTCACCCTTACCAGCTCAGCCTTCTACACCACTTTCCACCACCTCCTCTCTCCCCTCCTTTCTGTAATTGGAAAACCAGAAATAAAAAGTCCACTGCTGCCCTGACCTATTTATGTGTCTGACCTATTTATGTGTGTGGGTAAACTTCTCTATTTTCCACCAGTGGTGGGTTGGGATCTCCTGGACTTTTTTTTTTCTTCATAAAATGACCTTGGCTCTCAGGTCACCAGCCTTAAGTGTAAGAAATTGAATTATTGTTGTCACACACAGATAGGACAAGCAAGGGGCAGTAGGGGTTAGCACTGTTGTTTTTGGACCACGGCCACATTCACATTGGGAGAGGGTAGGAACCGGAAAAGTGGCCTCACTTAGAGATTTCCTAATTCTATTTTTTGGCACTCATTTGTTCTTACACCCCCCCCCCCCACCCCCACAACCGTGTTCTTACCTTTCTTCTCTCACCCCTTCTCTTTCCTTTGATCTTCTACTATTCTCCTTTCTCTCTCCATTCTTCCTCTCTTCCTTTCCTTGCCTTTTCTCCTGTCCCATCTCTTCTTTGTCTCCTCTCAATCCTGTCTTTTCATTTTCTCTAGATTTCCTCCCCCCCCCCCCCCCCCCATCATTTTTTTTACTGGTTCATCTACGTATTTTTTTTTGCCCCATAACTATCTTTTCCTAGTGGTTGTGTCCACTACACTTGAAATTGTGTGTGTGGGGGGGGGGGGAGGTGGCTGTTTTTTTCTTTGATGTATCTTGTCTCCCTTCCTGCCCCTCTCTCTTAATCTGTGTTTGTCACTGCCTTCCTTACCCACCTCTCTCTCTCTCTTGCTTTATGTCTGTTTGCCTCCCTTCATCACTTCCTCTTTGCATACCTCCCTCCCATTCTCCTGCTCTGCCTTTTTTTCTCTTTCTTTGGTTCTCTCCCTCTGTCTGCTTGCCTCTCTGTGCTGTCCCTTTGTCTCTCTCTCTCCTTTATGTCTACATCTCTCTCTGCTTGCATCTGCTTCTCACCCTGTCCGTTCTCTCTCCCTCTGTCTCCCTTCTTTCAACTCTTTGTCATATTTTCCTCCTTCCATATCTCTATTTCGTTCCCTTTTTCCTTCTCTTTTCATCTGCCCATCTCTGTATCTGCATTCCCTCTTTCTGTATTTTTTTCCCTCTCTGTCTTTCGCTGTTCCTTCCCCACTTTTCCTCATCATGTCTCCATCCCTCCCTCTCATTTTTTCCTCCTTCCCCAGACTTCTTTTCCTTCTTTTCTCTACCTTCATCTGTCCATCTTTACACTGTCTCTCCCAGCCTACCTCAGCATGTGTCTTCCTCTCTCTTCATGACTCTCTCTCTCTCCCCTAACCCTCTCAGGTACCAGGTCCAGAACAGACAGGACTTCAGTTTGCTGCCCTCTACCACCAAGCCCTAAAAAAAATTTCAAACACTATATCAAGCTCAGGGGCCGACCAGCACGAAGATGGGCATAGGATATAAGTGACTCCTTGAGTATAAAAAATACATGAGGCGGGAGAGCTGGTGAGAGACCGAGGTTTTTTTGTCAGGACAAAGGAAATGCTACATGATGATGATATCTGTGCTGGTATACCAACACATGTGGCACAAATGAAGTAAATTGTGTGCTCGGTACACCCTTGAACAAGGCAAAAATCTTGTTTCAGTATTACACCGAGACAACCTTGAAAAAAAACTAAGGAGACCTTAAAAAAGACCTTGAAAAGCCTTGAAATTGATTGGTAAATTTGGCTATGAACCCTGTATACAGCTAGTTGACAAGAAAGTTAATATGCTCACATTTATTTTCTTTCCTTTCAGATGTTTCCTAATGTTCAAACAGATTTCTGTCTAATACATGGACTGGAGAAGACGGGTTCTACATGTTGTGGTATATGGATTGAAAGTACCTATGTTATTAGTTGTTGCTCACTAGTTTGTAGGCTTTTATATGGCTTTTCATTGACTGCCAAACTCTCCTATATTCTCATGAGGGCGACTAGCTGCAGGCTTAGCAGTGTGTGATTAAGGTCTTAGGAGACGGCCTCGGTAGCGCAGTAGGTAGTGCGTCAGTCTCATAATCACAACCTTATATGTAAACAAATTGCTGCATGTAGCTGACCATATGGCTTAGCAGTATGTGATTAAGGTCTTAAGAGAGACACCTTACATGTAGGCAACATGCTGCAAGTAGATGACCATATAGCTTAGCAGTATGTGATTAAGGTCTTAGGAGAAACACCTTACATGTAGCAACATGCTGCAGGTAAGTAACTGTACAGCTTAGCAGTGTGTGTTCAAGGTGTTTGGAGAAATACCTTACATGTTGGCAGCTGGCTTCAGTTAGATAACTAGACATTTGCAGAATGTGGAAACTTGTTAGGGGGTTTTCATTTTTAAATTATATTTGTTGAGGTGTTAAGGCACTCACAATGGCACTTTGCTTCAGATAGAATACTTTAAAGCTTAGCAGTTTGTGGAATTTTATATTTAATTTTATAATTTTTAAATTATATATTCAGCAAAGTTGATTAAAAGTGGTGTGTGGTCAAGTTTTTAGGATCACAGATACATGGATAACTTGCTTCAGTTGGATAACCATAAAGCATAGATGTAAGCAGAAATTTATACTCAGTTTTTATTGTTGAATCAAGTTAGGTATAGTTGTCTTCTTCTTCTTCGCGTTCACCAGCTGTACACTCTGGCGGAAGGTTCTGGTTGCTCGTCCACTACTGAACTGCAGTCCTGTTCCAGAACCTGAGTGTTGCGTGTGCATCAGTTTTACAGATCTCATTCTCTTGAATACAGACTGTCGGTTCCTTGCCTCTCCGGCAGATGCACTCCGACTTCAAAGGAAGCTCCCCAATTAGTCGACTCTTACGACATGCTTTTGGGAAGGCAGTGAGTCTATTCTTGTTTTCCCCACAATGGGGCCCCGGAACCCACACGGGGAAGGTATAGTTGTGAAAGAGGAATGTATGGTCAGTGCGTACGGATCCCCCATAGTCTGCAACCAACTTTAATTGGGTGGCTGTAAATTGTAGATGTGAGCAGAAATTTCAATTTGTGGGTAGCTTGCTTTGTTTCGTTGAAGCTTAGCAGTTTGTGGCAATTTGGTTTTCTGAGGTTTAACATTTGCAAATTTAATTCAGTTTAGTGGTGAAATTGAGGTATTAAGATCATCACGTCACATGCCGGTTTCATTCCTCTGGAAAGTGAGGTTTTTGTCTGTCAAGGCTGAAAGTAAACAGATCTGCTTTGCATTGTAACTTTTTGGACAAGCAGCATGTTTGCCTGCACCCTTCAAAAACCCTTTCCTTCTCCTAGAAAACCCTTTCCTCCTCCTAGAAAACCCTTTCCTCCTCCCAGGATCAGCCATGCATCAGATTCCTTAAAGACAAAAGCAAAGTTTAGCAGTTACTAATATTGTCTGTGAATCTGTCCACTATAGGGCACTTAGCATTTTTTAAAGGGCATACTATACACATATAATAAGCTTGTGAAAGTCTTTGGATGATCCTAACACCTGAGAAGTTTGGTGGTGTTAAAAACAGAGACATTGGTGGTTTGATTAGCAAAGTGATTTGGAAAAGGATCAGCACCAATGACAAGTGTTCATAGAGGATCAATAGGAGCTGTACCGCCCAGTATTGCACATCATCATCCTGTGGTTTTTGCATGATTATAAGACTCATGGGCAATGCCTCTAATCTGTTCGGTCCTGTATATTCCTTTCAGTATTGTGTGGATTTCCATTCTGTGCCTCTGGTCTTATAACTTTTTTTTTTTAAAATAAAGCACTTCCTTTTTTTTTAAAGTGGTTTTTAGTAGGCATTGTTGATTTGTAGGGTTTGAATACTTTTATTTGGCAACACTTATTTCATATAGCCGGCTTCAGTGGCCAGGAGTAATTTTAGTGCAGAGTTGATTTGTATGTACCATTTACTAGCCAAGAGTAATTTTGATGTTCCATTTATTGACCAAAAGTGATTTTGATGCTCAATTATAGACATACAATTATTTTGATGCATGTTTACTAGGAAGTGATTTTCATTTTTTTTTTTAAATCTATTGGCCAGAAGTGATTTTGATGTTCCACTTGCTAAACAGAAATGGTTTTACTACTGTTCTGTATTCCTAATCTTTACTCTGACTAGGTCTTTGTAGACCATATAATTAATCCCTGATAGTGATTTACTTCATTGGGGAGAGATCCGTGAATACATTCATCAGCAGACTGGTGCACCTGAGTTCTGCCGCAGCACCAAAAAGTGATTTCATGAGCATGCTTAAGCTGTTCGAAACAGAATAGGTTTGAAGGCAGTGGTTGAAATCTCTGAGCAAGTTCTCTGGCAGAAATCAGTTTCATGTTTGTGCCAGGGCATTCTAGGGTGAGTAGCAGTGAATGCGCAGTAGGTACAGGGCAAGTATTGGATCGTGCCAATGTTCACAGTACTTTCAAGGAAGGAGGACAAGTAAAGGATTCAGAAGATGACGGTGAATTGGTATCATTAAAAAGACTACAAGAACTTCAAGTCAAACTGGGTGTTGCCAGACAACACTGTACAAGTAGCAAAAGAAGAATAGTAAACCAACACAGAACTGGGTTTGTCAGTTGTCACACACTGAGGAATATACTGATGGTGGGATCTGATCACTTATGGAGATGTGCGACGAGGAAATTTGGTCGGTTAACTAACATGGTTTGTAAATACATGTCAAGCATTCAGATAACAAACCCGGGACAGACACACGCACAGCTTCATTGTAATTGTATGTGGGATGTAAGCAGAAACAATCGCACTGTCATACATATATCTTTATGAAAAGAATGGTTACAAAAATGTGGCTGCCAAATTTTGTATGTTGCTGAGAGCTGTTAAGAAAGGTGAAATTATTCTGCATCTCCTACTTACTTTGTGGATCCCTTAGTAGCTGTGAGGGCCTGTAGTATCATACATGCAGCAGTACAACACATCATTCATATAAGCAACATAAATCAGCTTTGGGATAAACAAAACAGTACAGCACAGGAATAAACACCCCAACATAGCAACGGGATAGACATTACAGTGGTTTATTCCCCTTCAGCTCTTTTGTGTAAGCAGTTGTTGCCTCTCTTATTAGCTGTTCTCCCATGTGTTCCAACTATTAGCATTCATGCATCATTACACTCAGAATTAACTTCATTCATGGTATCATGATAATGCAGCATTCTGTTTAAAAAAAAAATTAGTAAACATTACAAAACATTTGTGGGGTTTAGGGTGCAAAATATCTCATTGTTTGTTAGCAATTTTCGGTTTCAGGGTTGCAGTCATTTTATGTATCTGATACAGTCATACAGGAGATGAGGGTCTTCCTTTTATTTAATGAAGCATGTTTTTGCTTGAATTCTATAACATAACTTGATAGCAGTATAAAAGATAACAGAGGAGCAATATTGAGATCAAGTTGAGTGTAAAGAGTTATGTAGCATGAGGGTGCCATCTCTTCTTTTTTGTTTGTTTAAAGATTAGATATTAATTTGGTGAAGTTCACAGCCCGCTGTCATCAGGCTGTAACCGCACTTGTATAACTTGTTGAATTCTTACCACTATGTAGATGTGTATAGTTCAGTTCTCTAAACAGAATGTGTATTTTAATTTTAACAGAGAAGACACAAATAGTGGCATGCACAATTTATTGTCTGGCATATTTTGCTATATCTCGTCAGATGCTTAATAAAGTAACAGTTGATTCACATGAAGCAAATAAGTTAATCCATCTGACTGAAATACACAGGGGAAGACGTTTGAAAACAACTGCCTGTTTTACCAGGGCATCCACAGGTTCATGACCATGTCTTTCTGTCTGCATAATTCTGAAAGATGTGTTTTGTGCTCATTGCACAGATGTTCTTAATTTAATCATTTGTTACTGTAGTGTGCGTGCCTGAGAAGATACAGCAAAATACATCAGTCGCTAAATTGTGCAATCTATTTTTGAGTCTACGGTGTTCAAATTCAAAACATGGGAACATTGCTTTGATTTTTAGAATGAGTACTGACTACAAATGGATATTTGGCATGTGTGTATTTCATTCAAACATCTTGTTCTATGGGTGTATGTGTTTAAAAGATGCACCTTGATTATTTCGACAGTTTATAGATTCTGCTTGTTAAATTTAAAAAAAAATTGCATAAAATGTGAGATATGTATCATCTTTATAGATCACAATACAACAGACAGACTGGGCATTTAGGTAACAGGCCTTCATCAGCTATGAAGGAAGCACTTTGATCTGCAAATGACGACGAGAAACAAAACACAGAACACAAAAGATGTAATGATGAAACAACAGTGCAGCGGTGAAATCTATCTATAAATAAAAGAAAAGAAAATTAAACTACATACTGTAATAGTAAAAAAATCTGTGCTTTTTCTAAAGACTACTCAAAATTTCAGTACATTTCCTTCCTGGAGTTTATGTCTCCATGCGCCCTTTCCCCTCGTCGTCTAAACACTTTATTTTATTACAATTATATATGTTGGAAAGATGTGCTTTGATTATATTGATTGCATACACTTTCTTTGTGGAGTTTATGATGTTTAGTTTTTTCTTTGAAAATTATCATCAGCTTTAATAAAGAAATGTTGAGCAAGATGAATTGTAGCTGTTTTATTTGTGAGTTATTGTTGTGCTTACTTTAACTCTTGGTGTATGTCAGCTACCTGACAGTATTGTTCAGCTCTCATTGCATGTAAACTGTCTGAGAATGGTTAACTTCCAGTGTATGTTAACTGCATGGCAATATTGACCTTGTACGTGAACTACCTTAAACTCGCGTTC